GGTGCAGACAGTGCAGGTGCAGACAGTGCAGGTGCAGACAGTGCAGGCACAGACAGTGCAGGTGGAGATGCCAGTGCAGGTGCAGACAGCACAGGTGGAGACTGTGCAGGTGGAGATCCCTCCTGCATCTGAGTGCCCCAGTTCTGCCTTTCTGTCTCTCCTGTCATCTACTTAAGTTGTCTTTCCCCACTGCAAAGTAATCAGAATGATCCAGTTGGGGGCATGATGGCACATGCCTTTAAAATCTGAGCATTGGGAGGCAGAGACAAGTAGATCACAGAGTTCAAAGCCAACTTGGTCAACACAAATTCCACGCTCCAGAGCTACATATAGACACTCTGTCTCAAAAACAAACAACCCAGAACAATGCAGGTCCACGATATCATGAAATCTTTTCTCCTTCTTTGTCCATCAATTTATTTCTTATTCCTCAGACCCTAAGAGGACTGAAGTGTGTGTGTGTTGTCATCATCTCATCTACCCAGTGTCACAGTGGATGGAAGTTTGGGGATCCTGTGTGCCTTTCCATGTCTATAATCAAGTCCGGAGAGAGACCTCTCCCTCCCTGGCTCTCTCCCTGGCTTCAGAGACGCTCATCCTCCCCACCCACACTCATTCCCAGCAGGGCTGGGCCAGACCTGAGGTTTGGCCAGGGCTCTCTCTGCAGCTGGTACTAAACCGCAGAGGTCACCCATAGAGCACAGAGGGGAGTGTCCCCAAAGGTCACTTTTGCTTTTCACTTCGACAGGTTTTCTCCATGGAAACAATGCCACACAGCTACTCAAATAACTTCTACATTTGGATTTAGGTCCCCAGGCCAACCCACAACAGGCTATAAAATTTCTCTGCCAACCAACCCGATCTGAGAGTTCTGAGCAGCTCTGCCAAGTGGCAGCTGCATGGCAGGTTCACAGCCTCTCCCTGCAGTGGCTTCTCCTTTCTCTCTAGGAACCTTGGGCCTGGCCCTCAGGCAGGGTGGGAGGATCTGAAGGGCAGAGATTCTGAGCTGGTATTCTGGGGTGGTGCTGGGGATTGGGGTGCCCTGACATGTAGGCATGTGGGTGCTGGCAGTGGCTCTGATGGCTTAGGGCAGAGGACATTTATGTGTGTGTGTGTGTGTGTGTGTGTGTGTGTGTGTGTGTGTGTGAGAGAGAGAGAGAGAGAGAGAGAGAGAGAGAGAGAAAGAGAGAGAGAGACGGGGGATGAAGGAGAATCAGAAAGACAGTGGCAAGTGACCCAAGGTTTTGAGGCTCCACAGTGGATCTGTCTGGGACAGACCATACCAGCTGCTGTAGGAGGTAACAGATCTAGAAAGATTTCTGTCTCTAAGTTTAACTGAAACCTCAAATTAGAGGGAGACATTAGTGTCACCAGAATAGGACAGAATTGTGGGGAGAATGGTGACACAGCCACACAGCCCACTGTCCTGTTGGTGGCTTGGAAGAGGAGGAGGAATAAAGAGGGGAGGGATGTTGCCAAGCGGTGGTCCCCTGGCCTGTCACACCCTGGCAGCTGCTTCTTGGCTTTGGGCATCCCTGATTTATGGGTTAAAAATAATCTTATAAGTCAGGGGTGGCGGTATGTGTCTGCAAATCCAGAACCTGGAGAGGCTGAGTGTTGTCTGCTGCCCAGACTCGAAGTAATCACACAGAAACCACATTATTTGCAATACTGTTTGTCCAATAGCTTAAGCATATTTCTGGCTTGCTCTTATATCCTAAACTAACCCATCTCCATTAATCTGTGTATTGCCATGTGTCTGTGGCTTACCAGCAAAGTTTTGGCATGTCTGTTTCTGGCAGCGGCTTCATGACTTCTCCTTGACTCTGCCCTCTTTCTCCCAGCATTCGGTTTAGTTTTCCCACCTACCTAAGTTCTGCCTTGCACAGGCCTAAGACAGTTTCTTTATTAACCAATGGTACTCACAATATACAGAGGGGAATCCCACATCAGCTGAGGCAGGAGGATTGGTTAGTAGCCTGAGCTGTTGTAAGTTAGAGGGCAGTCTGGCTACAGTGTGAGCCCTACCACAAATAACGTGAAACAACAGAACAAAACCACGAAGAACACACTTGGGCCACTGTCGCCTGGAACACTGCATATCCCAGAAGGCCAGGGCCTTCCCTGCTATGGATCCGGCTAGGTGGGAATGGGGAGAAGGGAGGGAGGGAGGAGCAAGGCTCCAGCTGCCTCCCAAGGACGTTTCTCTGTGGTAGGGTAGAGACTCAGGTTTGAGGGGTGTGACCTCTGTTCCTGGGAGCCTGACAGAGCAGAGCTGTGCAAATCACTGCCACGTTCTTCCTGGAGAGCTTCTGAGAGCCTCCAGTTTGCTGAGGGGAGGTGGCATCATGGAGCCTTGGATGCTCATCACTGTCCTATCCATATTTAATGGCCCTTTCATGGGAAGTAGCCTTGTGGGCTGTCTCTCTGGTCCTTTGTTGTGTAACATTCTAATTTGTAAGGAAGTGTTAAAATTCAAACTGGTCTAAAGGAAGGGGGGCTTTCAATCCTGCAGGGAGACCCCTTAAAACTCAGGAAGTGGCCGGGCAGTGGTGGCACATGCCTTTAATCCCAGCACTCAGGAGGCAGAGGCAGGGGGATCTCCACAAGTTCAAGGTCAACCTGGTCTACAGAAAGAGAGTTCCAGGACAACCAGAGCTACACAGAGAGACCATGTCTCTAAAAACAAAACACAACCAAAACCAAAACCAAACAAAATGGAAAAACAACCAAGCAACAAAAAAAAAAAAAAAAAAAGCTCAGAACGTGAACAACTCAAAAGCTCCAGGAAGCCCCAGAAACTGACCACGTTTCCCAGGTCCTTCCCTTCAGTGCATCTGAGCAGAAAGAACTGCTGGGGGCACTCGGACCTGCTGAGCTGCTGGAAGAGACTCCAGCACATCTGGCTGCTGCTAAGCTGTGCCCCGCACTCCAGGTTTCCAGTTTCATGAACCATCACCCACGCTGGAGTGGGTTCTCGGCAGTGTAGCTGTCATTGACTGTAAGAAATCCCTCAGGGCTGGAGAGATGGCTCAGAGGTTAAGAGCATTGCCTGCTCTTCCAAAGGTCCTGAGTTCAATTCCCAGCAACCATGTGGTGGCTCACAACCCTCTGTAATGGGGTCTGGTGCCCTCTTCTGGCCTGCAGGCATACACACACAGACAGAATATTGTACACATAATAAATAAATAAATATTTAATAAAAAAAGAAATCCCTCATCCACACTCCACAGAAACCCCAAAAGACTTAACCCATTGGTGCCCCAAGTTGGACTTTCTTTGTTGGTTCTCTATCTGGGGTAAGGAGGCGTTTATTCACGTCTCATTGAGAATGGTATCAGACAACACCCTAAATGAAGAATGGGTAGCAGCCCAGATGCAGGAACGAATCAGGTCTTAGCCTCAGTGAAAGGCAACCAAATGGCCCCCTTCCCTCATCAGCCCCCTGCCGGTCTGCACTGTTAACCCATTCCGGCTTTCCCAGGCACAGGAGGTGAGAGAATGCCTGTCAGGTTCCACGATCCCGGAGCTCCTGTGAAGGTCGTGACCCCAGCCTCTTCCATCTCTGAAGGGCTCAGAAGCCATGGACACTCCAGCAAGTGTGGGGCTCATGGTGGCATGCTGTCCTGCTGTGTCCACATCTCCTGGAAACCAGGCAGAGGCCAGCTCTTCTCATTGAAGGTTTACCTCAGTCTCCGTGGGATTACTTCTCTTTTCTGTTAAGACAGAGTCTCACT